AGGTGCTACCGTAATCCACCTAATAAATAACGTACCGCGCCCAGCACAATGGAGTTGCGGTCCATGGCTGGGGCTGCTAAGTGCTGCTGCAAGCCAGAGAACAAGAAGGCCCCATCAATTCTGTGGGGAGCTAGATCTAAATTCTGCAGCAGGTCCCTGGATCCTGCTGCCTCTGGCAGACTGGGGATTCTGGGGAAGCTTTGCTAAAATTAGGAGTTTTTAATGAAGCAACTATGTAAATAAGCAGCAGCCCCTGGGAGCGTTCCTTTGATCTGCGAGGCAATATGCTTTGCACTGATCTTCCCTTTCCCACTGTGATGGGTCAGGGGGTGGCGCTGGCAGCTCCGAGCCGCAGCGTGAGAGTTGTCAGAAGGCAGCTGGGGGCTGGGCAGCTGGGGAGGGGGCAGTGTGGGGGTTGGGCACCAGAGGAAGTGGGCTGAGGCCGTTTGGATTTGTGGGAGAAGTGCAGGAACTGCCAAACTGGGCAGCAGTGCGACAGAGATCAATGTGGCCCTTTAAATAGACATCAGTAGGTTTCAGAGGTAACGCCCCATCGAGAAGAAAGGAGCGGTCCGAACTGCAGCTGGGCGGAGAAAGGCAGTTCTGTTTAGCAGGAGGATTTTGATGTTGCAAAATCTGGTTTCCTTCCGATTTGGAAAGAAACCGAAAAACTTCAAAATTCTCCGCAAAAGGGAAGGGAGCAGAGGACGGCAGGAGCTGGGGCTGCAGTCCTACGGCTTCCAGGCTCCCCAGCATCCTGCCTGCTGACAGGGAGCTGGGACCGTGGACGCCTTGACTGGGGTGGGGGTGTAGAAGCCCTGGGAACCTTGGAGCTACGTCTTCCGAGTGCCGCGAATTCCCGACCCGCCTGCCGAGCTGCTGGAGCAGGCTGCCTGCAGACTCAGGCAGACATTGCCACGCCAGGACATGCTTTCAGGCTTGCCCAACCGCGAAGGGGAGGCGCAGAAGGCCAGGTTTGTCAGGGAGTACAGCTCAAGGTAGCACCACTGAAATCAGCTGGGATGGGTGGGGCTGGGTCACACTGGCAGAGGTGCGGCCTGTTGTGGTTTTTCAAGTGAAAGCTCAGACTGGGGAGCTAATTCCACAATCAGGGAATGGGGAGGGGGAGGGGGGGTCCAGCAGGCTCAGCTCGACCGGGGGGGGGCTGCTATTGTCTTAGCGGCGCGGAGATCAGAGTCTCCAGGAAGCAGTCCAGCCCCACCGCCCTGGGG